TCAGATTCTCTCCCTCTGCCCCCCTCCCCACTCGTACGCTCTCCCTCTCAAATAAACACAATCTTTAAAAAAAATCAAATATATGCACAGTCCCAGAAAGAAACAGTAAAGCACAAAATCAAAATTACAGGAGCTTAATGTTGGCAGAACACTTATTCTCACCTTGCATGTGAGGATCTCTGCTGGAGAAATACTTTGGCATATTCTCCTATCCCCTCATTCTCTCTTCCCCGGGGAAGACCTTCTAGTGGGTTATTTTAAGAGCAGGTACTACACACCCATGATCACCCCCTTCCTCCCTCCCAACGGCTCTCCTGCAGAAGTACACTTTCTGCTGCGTTCCTACACTTCAGTCTAAAAAGAGAGCACTCAGGAATGAGCATTTGGCAACACAAGTTGGCTGATAACCTAGACCAGAGAACTTGTAGTGGGTACAGTGGGAGACCGAAGCCGAATCACCATGGGCTAAGGAAGGAATGGGAGATAAGGAAGTGAGGCACAGAGCACAACTCTGCGGTGCTGAAGAGTAAAGGAATGGGGCTGGGTGGGGCGTTGGCACCTAGGGAGGTTTTCTGCCTTGCAGTTGCTGTTTTATGTTAGGGCGCCAAGGGAAATGACGGGTGGAAAAGAAGACTACAAATGCAGAAGCAGGGACACGTGGGTGGCTCAGTCAGTTAAGGGTGCTGGGATCAGGTCCTGTGTTGGGCTCCTTGCTCGGCAGGCAGCCTGCTTCTCCCTCGGTTTGCTGCTCCCCGTTTGTGCTCGCTCTGACAAATCAAAAAAAAAAAAAAAATGCAGAAGACAGAAAAATGACCATAGGAGTGGGAACATCTGTAGCGGTGAAGTCTTTGAGAAGGGATGGGATGGAAAAAACCTAAGTGGAGAAGTTGCCCTTTTTTTTTTTTTTTAAGATTTTATTTGAGAGAGAGCCCCCGCCTGAGAGCCCCCGCTGGGGGAAGAGTAGAGAGGGAGGGAGGAAGAATCCCAAGCTGACTCCAGCTGCGCACAGAGCCCAAGGCGCCCAAGGTGGGCGTGGGCCCCCCTTCAGCCCCCTCCAGCTCCCCGCGCCTCCCCTCGATCTCACGACCCTGAGATCATGACCTGAGCCAAAACCGAGAGTCAGATGCTTAACCGACTGAGCCACCCAGTCACCTCGAAGTTGCAGTTTCTTTTCTTTTCTTTTTTAAAAGATTTTATTTCAGAGAGAGATTGAGAGAGAGAGAGAGAGAGAGAGAGAGAGAGAGCGAGCGAGCATGAGAGGAGGGAGGGCCAGAGGGAGAAGCAGACGCCCCACTCCCCACTGACCAATCCTGGGACTCCAGGATCATGACCTGAGCCGAAGGCAGTCGCTCAACTGACTGAGCCACCCAGGTGCCCTCGAAGTTGCAGTTTCTTCGAAGCAAAAATATTTACTATTTTAAGGAGGAAAATCAGAGAAAAATCAGTGCATATATTATCAAGATAGACTTTATGAAAAAGCAAGAATTGCGATATTAGTATCTGATAAAGCATACTTCAGAGGAAAGAAAATTCCTAGAGACAAAGAGGTACATTACAGAATGAATAATAAAAGGATCAATCCACCAAAAAAGACGTATGATCCTAAATGTGTACATATCAATCAGAGCCTCAAAATACAAGAAGCAAAACTAATTAATACAGGTGAAAGGAGAAATAAACCAACCCACAATTTTAGCTGGGACTTAACAGTCACCAGTCTGCAATGGATAGACTTACAAACAGAAAATCATTAAGGATACAGAAGATCTGAACACACAAGATCTGACTCATGTATATAAAACACTGTACCCAACAACAGCAGAATATACATTTTTTTCAAGTGCTCATGGAACATTCATCAAGACAGATCACATCCTGGGCCATAAGACCTCAACAAATTCAAAAGAACTGAAATCATACAGAGTATGTTCTCTGACAATGATGGACACAAAGTAGAAATGAGTAACAGAAAGACAACAGGAGGGGCGCCTGGGTGGCTCAGTTGTTAAGCGTCTGCCTTCGGCTCAGGTCATGGTCCCAGGGTCCTGGGATCGAGCCCCGCCCACATCAGGCTCCCTGCTTGGCGGGAAGCCTGCTTCTCCCTCTCCCACTTCCCCTGCTTGTGTTCCCTCTCTCGCTGTGTTTCTCTGTCAAGTAAATAAATAAAATCTTAAAAAAAAAAAAGAAAGACAACAGGAAAATTTAAGGGAGTTCCCGTGAAATTTTTTTTTTCAATGACGCATGAAGCAAGGCAAACGAGGGGAGAGGAACGAGAAGATATTAAATTTATCCACTAAAGAAACAATTACTGAGTGCCTACTGTGGGCTAAATATTGTTCTAATCATTGACACTAAAGGAGTAAACTCAACGGACAACAAAGTCTGCTCTCATGACCTTTAAATCAATATAAACTGTCAGTTGTGCTAAGAAGAATAAACTGGATAAAAGAATAAAGGTTAACAGTAGGCAAGGTAAAAAAAAAACAAACAAACCAGGTTATTTTATTGTAAATTGTAGTCAAATGTTGGTCTTTAAATCAAGGGTTCATTATTAAGTTTTCCACTTGCTACCTGGCCTACCGTAATTCCATCTCTAGAATAGGTTAAAATATTTTTTGCAACTTTATTTTCTTGGAAGACCCTGTATGAAATGTCTTTTCCCTACTACTCACAAAACGTGGGAATGGTTAGCTGCTTTTTAAAGTTGTAATTCTCATGAATTAAAAATTTAAAGTAGTTTGTTTCTTGGGCTAGTTTTTGACTTCAGGTATCTTCCTCAACACAATGCCTCCAAGTAGAATCCATAAAGTACTGTAGCATAATGTGCAAAGGAAGAAAATTGTGTCCAAACAAATGAAGCACTAGCCATTGAGCGCCCAAAGCACTTAAAGGAAGAGTTTCACTTAGCTGGTTTTCTTAACAAAAAGAAGAAAGAATAAAGTAGCACCTATTGCCCAGCTTCCTGTTCCCCTCCAACCCTCTGTACTCCAAAGCAGTATGAGCCAGGCAATCTGGCTTAGGGTCTCCATGCAGACACGGCAGGCCAAGGATATGTGGCTAAATTTTTTGTTCAATGATGGGGCTGTGCTAGGCTCTCATTATTTTTTTTAAAGATTTTATTTACCTATTAGAGAAAGAGAGTGCGCAAGCAGGGGGAGCGGCAGGCAGAGGGACACACACACACCCACCCCTGGCAGAGAGCCCGACGGGGGCTTGATCCCAGGAACCTGGGATCATGACCTGAGCCTAAGGCAGACACTTAACCGGCTGAGCCACCCAGGGACCCCAGGGCTCCCATTTTTTTAGATACTAGGCTTGTTCTGACTGCAAAAGTCATTTATGTTTAACCTTGGTTTCAAACGATCATCTAAGTAAGTAAGGTTTTAACTGTAGTGGCTCTTATACATGCAGTAGCTCTACTCTTAAGGAGCAAGGGTTGGTAAACTATGGCCAGCAGGTCAAATCCGAAGTTTAAAAATAATTGAACACAGCCATGCTGATTTGTTCACCTCTCTGTGGATGCCTTCACATTATAACTGCAAGGTTAAGGAGTTCTGACAGAGACCCCCTGGCCTGCAATGCCTAAGTACTATCCCGCCCCTCACAGGAAAAGTTCGTTGACTTATGGCTCAGTCGGTTGGGCATCTGCCTTCCGCTCAGGTCATGATCCCAGATCCCTGGGATGGAGCCCCATGTCAGGCTCCCTGCTCAGTGGGGAGCCTGCTTCTCCCTCTGCCTCTCCCCTCCACTTGTTCCCTCTCTTAAATAAATAAATAAAATCTTATTAAAAAAAAAAAACAAAGTATTGCTTCTCTCCCTCATCTGTATAAGAGATCCTTCCTAATCCACCCCGGCCTATTTCTCAGTACTCACTGCCCAACTCCACTCTCCCTCACTAGCTCTGTTCCAACTATTCAGAAGTACCTGCAGTTCCCCTAAATAAGCCGTGCTCTTAAGGCAAGAACCCACGTTAACTGCTATTCTCTTTGACTGCCACCCCCTCCTTGCCAAACCGATTTCACATGGTTCTTTTAAAAACTCAGTCATCTGGGCGCCTGGGTGGCTCAGTTGGTTAAGCGACTGCCTTCGGCTCAGGTCATGATCCTGGAGTCCCGGGATCGAGTCCCGCATCGGGCTCCCTGCTCGGCAGGGAGTCTGCTTCTCCCTCTGACCCTCTTCCCTCTGGTGCTCTGTCTCTTATCCTCTCTCTCTCAAATAAATAAAATCTTTAAAAAAATAAAATAAAAACTCAGTCATCTGCTCCTCCTAACTAGATGCCTGCCCCTCTATTGGGCAGCACGCTTTCCTACATATACTGCAATTTTTAAGTCGGACTAGCTTACTAGTTCTTCAATGGCAGAAGTTGTTTCTTACTCCAATTCCTCAACCAGTGGCTGACACGTTGTAAGTCCTCGAAACTTCCTGGTTCAATTCCTGAATAAATTCTTGCAGGATGTCAAATAGCTGGCGTGTTTTTTGAGCTACTCAAGCTGGGAGAGCGAGGGCCTGATGCCATAAGCAGAGACGTAGAGAGTAGAGGGAGAAGGGGAGGCAACCTACTCAAACACTGCCTGTCCTGGCTAAACGTCTGTAAATTCTCCCGCTGACAATCCCTCCCTCTTCCTCGCTTCTGTTGCCTGGCTTACCGTTTCTGACCGCAGTTAACGGGGGACAGATTCGGACCGTCAGCCTAGCGAGCAGATACCAGGCACCGCACACCTATCTGTGCACGCGGTGCGGGTGCCCTCCTCCGCCTCCGCTCGCAGCGCGCGCGTCAGCCTGCCCTTCTCCGAAGACTCCCAGGTGCCGGGGGCCGGCTCCGGGTGCGAGGGCGGGAGGGGTCGGCCGGGGGGCCGCAGTCCAGGGCGGCTCGCCCTCCCTCCGCCGAGCGCCCCGCGCGCCGGCACGCGCCCCGCCTCCCGCGCTCTCCCGGCTCCCTCGGCCGCCCACCGCCCTGTTCTCCTCTCTCTCGCTCCCGTCCCAGACTCGGCGGCTCTCACCTCCGTCCCAGACTCGGCCCTGCGAAAGTCACTACACATCGCCCCGGAGGCTGGGCTAACCAGACACTCAACTTTCCCGCCACTAGCGCCATTTACCGCGAACGGAGGAAGTCCCGCAGCCAGTCAAACGCGCTGACCCGTGAACCGGGCGCGAGCATGCGCATTGCGCCCGCCCTGAGCCAGGGAGGCGGCGGGCATGCGCAGTAGTGTGTGCTGGCGACCCTCGCCCAAGTGACGTCAGACTCCGTCTCCTAGGAGACCCAGAGGCAGCTGGTGATTTTTTTTTTCTCTCATAAGCTTCAGTTCGTTTTTATTAGGTAAAACTAGCAGCATGTACTTTTTTTTTTTACTATAAAAAAGCAGTTACTGAGTACGCAGGGCTTTTTGTCTGTTGTGGGTTAAAAGCCTCTGGCTGGTTATACATGTGATTCATGGTTAATTCTGAAAACAAAGAATTACACTAACTTCGATAGAATCTATGTAATTAAGAAATAATTATTATAATAATAGTAATTACAGCTAACACTTACAGTGCTTAGTATGTGTCCTTAGTGCTTTATATATAATAATTCATTTAATCCGCACAGGCCTATGAGGTAGCTACTGTTATCCCCATTTTACAGACGAGGAAACTGAGGCACAATTTTGGCACACATGACCAGAGTGTAGTGTAGTCAGCACATTGAAGGGAAGTAGGAAAGGAAGAGCATGAGTACAAACAGTTCTTCAAAGAAACTTGGTTGTGAAGGAAGGAGATAATATAGTACCAAGCAAAATCAAGGAAGGGTCTTTCAAGAAGGCAAAGCCTGGGACATGTTTAAATGCTGACAGGGAAGATCTGTGGTAACTTACCGGTTAAAGAAAGAGAAAGAAAACCTGATGGAGTCAGGACCTAGAGACAACGGAGGGTGTAGGTATAAAAGTTAGCTTTAGCTGTGGGAGGGCATCTCTTTCGCTGTGAGTAGAGACGAGGGTTGAGAATGGGTGCAGATGCAGATAAATTTGGGGATGAGAAGCTCAAAGAGCTTGAGGAAGTTCGAGTCTGAGGTAGAAAGCAAGGTAGTAGAAATCCAGGACTCCTCTTGTGAAAGTTAATTCCTCTTGTGAAAGTTGAACTCCTCTTGTGAAAGTAAAGTGTGTGCCTAAGTTGAGTGCCTGAATTAATGTTACCATCTACAGGCTCTGCCAAAAACCTTCCTCTGAAATCCTTGGTTCATTCTGTACACAGAGCAGCAGGGACTGACCTAAGTGCTCTATGACAGTAATTATTTTAACCAGGATAATTTTCCTTAACACTTACTGTCTACAATCACATTTAATACACAACATATATTAGTACTATTCTTTCATTGCACAGAGCTTTTCTCCCTGAGTTACAATTTTCTTGAATTTCAAGATAAATTTTCTGAAATCATCATGGATCTTGATGTCAGATACACCTGGAATTTTAAATCTGGTTCTGTCACTTATTACCATGATACACATCACTTACCACCCTGGACCTTAGTTATTGTTGTGTTGTCGTGATGAAACTATGTACTTAAAAGAGCTAGCACAGCACCTAGCACAAAATATTGATTCTCTTCCTACCTCCCTATCTTTCTTAAATCATATCTTAACATAGTGCCAAAGATACAATAAATATTCAATACCCATCTCCTGTTTACCATGATGGCAGTGATTAGGGCCAGATTAAGAGATGAGCCTGTCTGGCAGTTGTCCAGGGTGATACATTATAAAAGCTGCTAAAACTTCTCTATGTATTAAAATATCACAGGAATATGAGATGGAAAACACGATTTTTAATTGCAATTCTTTTCAAACAGGATACTGTATGTGGTTGGGAAGAAAAGACACTTGGAAAGATGGTAAAACAGGCACCATGAAAGACAACGCTTGAGTAACAGTTACTATGCGTAGGTTTAACTGATTGGGATAGAAGGTAAGGTGAACGCAACCAACATTCATTCACCTACCCTGCCTTCTCCCCACCCACTCCCACACAAGGAGGCAGGACTGTGAATCTCCAAAAATATGTCGGCAAATATTGTAAATGCATCCTTTAGAAGATGTGCCAACTTATTTGCTCCCCGAGGCAAGTCTGCAAATCTTAATATAATTCTGATAGTATTGATGATAGTGATGGCTTGTGCTATAACCCCTTTTGAACTGGGGTCCTGGATTTTCCTAACTTAGAAATGTGAAGTCTAGTTTTTCTAATTCTGCAAACTATCCAAGATATTTGTGTAATGAACAGCTCTGGAAGATAGATCCAGTGTCTCCCTCAGGAGCAAAGTCCTGCTTATTGTCCATTAGAAAAGATTTGTGTTCCCTGAGCTGAAATGTCCTCTCCTAGAATGCAACCCACTCCACGTGCAGGTGTTACCTTACCCTCTTCACATTCTCTGTGCTTACTGGGGCTCTTGGAACCAGTGTACCGAGATGCTGATATTCTGGCTGCTGGTGTGGACTCTTGTGTCTTTTTTTTTTTTTTAAGATTTATTTATTTCAAAGAGTGAGAGAGAGAGCGCGCGCGTGTGTGTGTGTGTGTGTGTGTGTGTGTGTGTGTGTGTGGGCGTGCGCGCGCAAGTAGGGGGAGGGGCAGAGGGAGAGGGAGAAGGAGAGAGGGAATCTCATGCAGATCCCTGCTGAGCATGGAGCCCGACACAGGACTTGATCCCTGGACTCTGAGATCACGGTCTGAGCTGAAATCAAGAGTTGGATGCTTAACGCACTGAGCCACCTTGGTGCCCCGTGACTCTTGTGTCTTTTATCAGCATCCAGAAAATTGTGGTTGACTAACTCATTAGCTTACAGGAAGAGTAAAATCTCAGACTCTGTGTAGTTCTTGATGACCCACACTAAGCAATCTATAACAAGATAAATTAAAGATTTTGAGTGAGCAAAGAAGTTCAGAGAAGCAGGAATGTAATTGTAATTGAGAAAGGCAGGATTTAGCCAAAATAGATGAACGTGTCTTTCATTCTGACCGAAAGGTTTTTTTATGCCTTGTTAAGCTTTCTTGATAAAGTTTTGGGCCTAATCTCTAGGATTTGAGAAACTAGAAATTTAGTCCTGGTAATAGTAATGCCCACTTTTGGGTTCTAAGAGGCAAGAATCTGGAACTAATAATATTAGCCATTAATATCAAAGGGGAAAAACTGGAATGAAAAAGTTTCATGAGGGGCACCTGTGTGGCTCAGTCATTGGGTGTCTGCCTTCGGCTCAGGTCATGATCCCAGGGTCCTGGGATCGAGTCCCGAGTCAGGCTCCCTGCTCCGCGGGAAGCCTGCTTCTCCCTCTCCCACTCCCCCTGTTTGTGTTCCCTCTCTTGCTGTGTTTCTCTCTGTCAAATAAATAAATAAAATATTTAAAAAAATGTTTCACGAAAAGATACATTTTCACCCATCTATTCTTTAAAAAGCTGATGTAATATCATATACTTATGAAATAATTCTCATAGCTAATACTAAAATTGCTCATGGTATAAACTGGAATGTTTTTGGTTACAAGTCACAGAACACTCAACTCTTATTGGTTTATATAATAAATGAGAGGGGTGCTTGGCTGGCTCAGTCAGTACAGCATGCAGCTCTTGATCTTAGGGTTGTGAGTTCAAGCCCCATGTTGGGGGTAGAGATTACTTAAAAATAAAAATAATAAATACATAAATAAATAAAGAAGTTTATTGGGTCACACAGACGAAAGTCCAGAGGTAAGACAGGCTTCAAGGGTAGTTTATTGAGAGGTTGAATTAGGCAAACAAGTACCTCGTTTCTTTTTTTTCTTGTCAGATTCATATTCTCTACCTTGGCCCTTATAGGGCTATGTGTCTGCACCTGAAACATTAATACATTCAGGGAATAAGGTTGGGCTGGTTAGTAGGGGCCTGAGCTACATGCTCCACCCCAGACCCCGGGGTTGGAAGTGTATTCTTTCAAAGTGTATGGGCTTTGTGTAAGGTGTAGGTAACAGTAAATAACAATGGCACAACAACAACCCAGTACTTAGGAGAAGTGGGAGTGGGTGCTGGGGAGGCACCCTCCCTCTCATTATATCCTTCATAATGAGGACACATATGTACAAAGCCACATATCTAGGTCATCTCCTCTTCCATTCTGTTCACGTCTCTACAAAGAAGTTCTTTCCTTACATGTAAGAAAATCAATATTTAAGAAAGAAGCCTTTACAATTGAATAGCCGCCCTGGACGGATTGAGCTTCTTGGTCCTCACACTGTTCCTAATGAAGGTTATGTGTCAGCTGAACAAGCTAAGTTCATTAAGTGCACACCTGTTTGTATGAGCCATCTTGCACAACATGGTTTTGAAATTCAGTTTCAATGTTCTAGAGATATCACTTCTCTTTTAAAAGACTGTTCGAGGTGTTCTCATAACTTGCTGGTGGAAATGCAAACATGTGCACTCTTTATGGAGGGGAGTTTGCCGGTTCCTAACAAAACTACACATTCATTGACTTTTTAACACAGTAATCCTACTTCTAGGAATTTATGCTAAGTTCGTACCTCCAATTCCACATGGAAATTTAAAATGCATCATCAACTCTGCCGTATGTCTGTGATGCTCAGTACGCCTCTAACTTACAGGAGATGGTAGCCTCCACTTCTTTCCCTGGGAAATGAGGGATTTGGACAAGATGATAGCTCCCATTTATCAAAAGTCAACTCTGTTGCAGACACTCTGCCTTTTGTTCTATGGTATGATTCCCAACCCTTTCTTGCAAGGTATTTATTATTCCCCCATTTTATAGGTGAGGACTTGGAGGCTCAGAGAGTTTTAATCATCACACAGTCCTCCAGCTAGTAAACCCAGGTTTACCTGACTATAAAGCCTGAGGTCTTCCTAACACATTCAGTTGCTTGCAGAAGATGCGAAGGGCCTAAGGCCTTTTATAACTCTAGGTTCTGTGATTCTCTATGATTAAGAAAGGAATCAGCAGGGACACCTGGGTGGCTCAGCCGGTTAAGTGTCTGCCTTTGGCTCAGGTCATGATCCCAGAGTTCTAGGATCAAGTCCCGCATTGGGCTCCTGGCTCAGTGGGGAGCCTGCTTCTCCCTCTGCCTGCCACTCCCCTGCTTGTGTTCTCTCTCTCTCTCTCTCTGACAAATAAATAAA